AAGTCGGTGTGCTTGGATTAAAACAGATCTTTTTATCGATTAGATCTTAATAAGCAACGGAGAGGGAGAGAGAGAGAGAGAGAGAGAGAGAGAGAGAGAGAGAGACAATAGAGTGGCCGTTAGCATGAAAATTGGGAAGATATCGGCTGCCAAGGAAGTATTAAGGGGAGGTTTATGGTTTATTTGTATATAATAAGAGCAAAAATCTCCTTTATTTGTATATAATAAGAACAAAATGGAAATCAATTTTTAGAAAGTCAATGATTTTGACTTTTAAATGGAAAATAGCCGATGTGTCCTTGAAACCTGCTATAATAGGTTAGAAGGACTAAAAAGACAGATTGCTTCTAACCTTATGCCCCTATAAAGACACAAAATTAGTTTAGGGACTTAAAAGGTCAACCCTAGAAAGTTTGTAGGGCATTTATGTCATTTTCCCTTGGTTTTATACTCTTGTTGTTCAATCCAAGAGAAGAATGTGCATCATTTATTCGTAATTATGAGGTGACAGATCCAAGATTTGTTGGTGGATGGGTATTGAGATCACAACATGTTTTTTTGTTATAGATGCAACTGGGTGTATTTTTGAAGTTGACTACGATGAAACATTTGTCTATTGATGTGCTTTTTGTGACTACATTGTGGATTTTATTGATGTTTCGTGAAATTGATTGTCATGAAACATTCGGCTATTGTTTGAGTATCATTTATAATTATTTATTTTCTTGATAAAATTGCAAATAATTTCCTATTGGTTTTTTTGTTGTATGTGGGTAAGGTCCAAAGCTTTGAAAAGTTGCAGATTTGGCCATTTTCAACAAGTTTTGTTGTGGTTTTGTTCTCTTTTCCGTTAAGTTTAACAACTTGGTTGTTAATTTTTATAAAATGATAATTTTACCGTCATGGAGCATTTTCGCAATTTTTTCTTTTTACCAAACTACAATGACCATTTTTACATACCTTTTTTTTTAACTTTATTAAATTATTATATATTAATAAATATTATTTTTAATATATAATATTTATATATTAATAAATATTACTTTATTGGATTATTTATTACTTTTAATTAATTTTTTAATTCTTTTTATCGGTTTTTTATTGGATTATTATATATTAATAAATATTATTTTATTAAATTATTAATTTATTTTAGTTAAAAAAATTTATTTTTTTTATTGGAGTAATTTTTTTATTGGACTATTATATATTAATAAATATTATTTTTAATACATAACATTTATATCCTAATACGCAAAATCATTGCCTCTAGTCATCGAAAAATCGTCGGGATCACCGCGAAACACCTTCATTGCAGGTAGCTTATAATGAGAAACTACAGGGACAACACCACTACCATCACCCGGTCACCACCATTACTTATCATGTTTACAAAGGTTTGTTATGCATTGTGTGGGATATGGAGGATTTCGACAAATTTTTATGAGGTTGTCGCAGCTGGCTACCGGCGGCATTGGGTGGAACATGTTGGTGGGGTTTTCGTCGGACCTCCGATGAAGAAGTTTGGTGGTGATCCCAACGATTTTCGACGATGAGTTGCATATTCCGACGACCTTGTGGTTAAGTTAACGGAAGTGAGACCAAAACCATAATATAAAGAAAATATTAAATTAAAAGTAAAAATCCAATAAAATAGAATTAATCAATAATTTAAAAAATTAACTAAAAAAGTTAATAATCAAACAATATAATATTTATTAGGATATAAATATGAAAAAATATTAAATTAAAAGTAAAAATCCAATAAAATAGAATTAATCCATAATTTAAAAAATTAACTAAAATAATTAATAATAAAACAAACAATATAAAAGACGAAACTGTAGAAATGTTCAATAAGGGTAAAATAGTCATTTAAAAAATTAATAATTAAGCGGTTAAGTTAACGGAAGTGAGACCAAAACCACAATATAACTTGTTGAAAAAGACCTAATCTATAACTTTTCAGATATTTGAACCTTAACCACATAAAATACGAAACGACCTAGACCATTTTTACAATTTTGTCTTTCTTTCTTATTTATTTATTTATTTTTATTTTTGCTACTTTTATAGTATTCGGCGGTTCAAGAAAGTTTAATTAAAGTTGTGTTGTTTAAATATGATTTGTTGATGATGAAACAAAACAATGATTAGAAACTTTGATATGGAGAAAGTAAGAAGTGGGCAACTAAAAACAAATGGTGTCTAAGAAAAGGATGGGAGACAACTTCATCCTATCCAATCATTAATGCTTCCATGGTCCAATCACTTTTTCTTACGAATGTCAATAATATTTTATTTTGCTTTGTTTTTGTTTTTGTTTTTGTTTTGTTTTGTTCCTATGTATAAAGTTAATCATATTACATAAGTATTTTTTATATAGCATAAGGTTGACACTTTTAGTTTATATAAAAGAAAAAGAAAAAGAAAAAAAAATCTAAGAATTAATTAGTAACATCTTATAATGTTTTAATGGGCATATATATTTATCAAAGTAAACTTATCGTATATGTATTATCTTCTTGTTTGATGCCTTTTTTTGTAAGATTTGTATAGTAATTAACGGGGTTGATCCGTTGATTTTAAATGCCTTATATGAAAAAAAAATTATATATAATTTTTTTATACAAATAAAAATCATTCATAAGTCGATATTTGTTATAAAATTAATCAAAACAAAAATTATCATCGATTCGTCCCTAATATGTCAATCTGTCATAATCTATCACTATAACTTATGTACGTTCAAAAAAAAATTGGGCCTCATAAACAACATGCCCCTGTGCAGTCGTACATCCGGCGCATGCCCATGGCCAATCCTAATAAATAATAAATTTGATGCACAACTTTGTTATATAAAACTTGTGTGTACTTAACAATCACAAAATTGTTTTAATTCAAAGAAAATCCCCCGGTATAAAGGGTTTTTTATTGTGATATATGTAGTTAAGAACATCTTTTGTTTCTTTTGAAATTTTAGGAAATCTACATGTGATGAACAAGTTGTGACTTGAGGTGTTGATATTAGATAATGTTTACATGTGCGACCTAAGTAAGATCCCTTTTGAAGAATAGATATCGGAAAATAGCAAATGTGGAGCTTACTTCATGTGAAAGTTACTTTGGCACCAATGGTGTGTTAGTGTTATCAGGGGCGAAGCCAGATTTTAGGAATAAAATGGGCTTACATAGTAATAAAACAATAACAAATTATTGGTTACTAGAATTGTTTAAGAGTGAAAATTGTTGTTCGAGATAACGAATCAAAAAATCAAAGTTTACATGTCCTAAATTTGTCGACACAAATTGGTTGAAAAATAATCGAACATCTTCTTTCCGTGTTTATTATACCCTATGATTTTAAAACCCAAATTACCAATCATAATTAAATTACTAATTATAAATTACAAGAATTAAATATGCTATAAGATTTAGAGTTTACCTATTATTAGATGGAGAATGGAATCCTGCTTTAGATTAAATTACAAGGTCTTCTAAACTAGAACAAATAGTCGTAATTAAATAAAAGAGGTAGTGACTTTCAAAAAGTAAAATAGATGGAGGGGGCTTTAGGGTTTAGATTACTAAAGTGGGCTTAAAATTAATTATGAATTGAACTATTTATAATATTATTAGTAAAAGGTTAAAAGGGTTGGAGGGGGCGCAGCATCCGGCTGCCCCTCTACTAGCTCCGCCATTGAGTGTTATAAAATTTGGGTTGTGATATCCTATGGCCTCTCCACTTTCATTTTTGTTTTTATTATCAAGCTTATGAAATGAGATATATGATAGGATGTGTATATGAATTCCCATTCCCATTCCCATTATTGTCTTATTTTGTTTTCTAGTGTTATTCATTCACATCATCCAACTTTTGGACACACCTTGAGGTGCTAATGATTGTTTTAATGTGGCATGATTTTGACACCGTGTATTATTGCACAAAGTGAGTTGGGCATTATACCTTGTTTTCTTTTAAAGTTCATAATGGGGTGAATTTACAAAGTTGGCTAGTAAATTGTCGGCATAGTTTTGTTGAATTGTTCCATGCATAAGATGGACTAGATTATGAAACAATAAATGGTCTTCATATTCGCAAGTTTAGTCTCAAATAATTTTTCTATGTGGTTCTGATTTCTTATATGGTTGGCCCCTTATCGATATAAATGAAATTACTACCTTTTATAATTTAATTTATAATTTTTAATTAAAACAAAATTTAACCCCATTTGCCTGTCTATCAAATGGGTGGTGAATTGGAAGTGAAAGACAACATTCTAAGCACCAACTCTTATCATCAACATCGTCCGGCTACCATCACGCTCCGGTACACAAACCGCATGCCATGACACATCCACCATTTCTTCTATCTCCCTCTCATTTCCCTTCACGATTTCTCTTCTTTTCCTGTTCTATCTCCATCGTGCTCTCTGATTTCAACGAACATACGCACATACAGTGGCGGAGCTTGAGCTTTTGAATCAGATTCATAATCCATTGTTATTTCATTTCAATTTTATGCCTTCAGTTTGATTAGTTCGAATTCAAAATGTTCTTCACGATTTTAGTGGGTAGTTCATGATTTGAGTTCAATTTCAATGGATTCTTTCACGATTTCAATGTTTTCTTCACTCAAAATTTGAAAGTTTTAGTAGGGAAGGACATCAAGAAGCTAAAATGTGTGGGTTCTTCGATTTCAATGGGCTCTTCACCATCATCGTAGAGAGAGACCCATGTTTTATTTTCTTATCCTTTTTATTTAAAAAAAAAAAAGTAGTTATGTCATTTTTTAAACCATTATGTAATTTAGTCACGAAACAGTTAAGGTATGAATTATGATAGATATATCATTTTAAGAAACATGACCCCTTCATAATGTACATCCACCAATATACGAACAACATGTCGATCGAAAAAGCACACATTTAAACAAAAATTAGAAAAAATATAACATCAAATTACCTTAATCATGCTAACTTTGAGGCTTCGATTGTGTTTCAAAAATCAAAACTATCATAAGTATAGAGAGTTGAAAACTAGTGAAATTTATCAGTACTAAGGTGTATTGTATTGATTGTGTTTCTAACATGATTACCGATTATGTGCAGCAGCAGCTGTACTACTTCTTGTTGACTTGACACGCGCCTTCCTCCCCTGTAATTACCCAAAATAACATCATACTTTGATTTATACCATTTTTTAAATAATGAAGTATTATATATCATTACCTTCCCCATGCATTTTTCCAAATGAGGAGCGAATCTTCCAGCAACAATAGCTCTGCCACAGTTCATGCAATCGAATATTTCAGTGGCTACAGGAGGATGAGTTTGACCAAAAATGTCAACAACATATTTGCTATTTGCTTCACTATTGCTTGGATCTGCTACTCTTGCCCTAGCTTGTGCTGATAGCCTTAGTTCTTCTTCTTCATCATCTAAATTTCGGTCAAGTCCTAATCTTGCAATTCGGTGACACTCAGATGAAACATCCATGATTATAGAGCCTAGAAGTTCATCAAACAAATGAGATGCAAGCTGCACAAACAAAATCCCACCTTCGTAAATGGTACTCATAATCATGAGTCTCAAAGGCTAGAGCTATATTGCAAAATGCAAACCCATGTATCCTAGATTTGGATCTTTGATGATGAACGTAAATTTTGAGACACCCAAATTGCAGCAGCTAAAGATTAATCCGGATTATGAAAATACGAAAGCACGATTTGTACGGCATACATGATTGAACGATTGAAATAAGTATTCGAGATACGAAAATTGAAGAAACCTGTGTATTCTCAGCGGGGGAAGACATTATTCTTGACAACCAGAGTGTTCGGTACCTAACAATAACCATAGAGTGTTGATTAGAAAAATTAGTACCAATTAATCGCAAAACGTACACGGATCCGAGAACTAGGGTTTGCTCATCAGCAGTCGTACAATAAAAGCAACAAACACAATTTAGGGATTCGAATATAAACCTAGAAAATACTCAGTGGAATCATACCGAATACCAGAAACTACGAAGATATCAATACAATCCAGTAAGAAATTCTGATTAACTCAAACTAGATCAAAAGATGCTACGATTAATCAAGCAGTTGGAGGTACAATGGAATTAGCAATATATAACGGAAATCATTAACGCGAGTGATATAGACAACATACCTAAAAAGAAGTCGCTCGGAAAGTAAATGGTGGGGATTTCGCCGGGATAATCAATTTGATGGTGGCAGAGGAGATCGGGAGGAGACGGAGTGAGGGGAGAATTACGGGTTATGGATCGGGAAAAGGTCCGATTCGTATTAATTTTTGTTGTCTGCGAAAAAGGGTTTTTTATTTTAAAAAAAATATATATGTCGACAAAATGACAGCTGTGGGATTTGAACCCACGCCCTTTCGGACCAGAGCCTAAATCTGGCGCCTTAGACCACTCGGCCAAACTGTCAGATGGTATACAATTGTAAGAGAATATATATTAATCTTATCATCCTTTGGTATCATCGTGAAAAAGATAAAACTAATTAAACGCATACTCTTCTCATTGTTAAATGTTTTGTTGCAAAACTAATTAGGATATATCCATTTTCTATAAACTCTATACGAAAATAGATATAAAAATATTAACATGTGCATGTACCCAATTAGATATGGCAATTTAAATATGCATATATGTACAAGTATAAAATAACTTTAATTTGTATATATTAAAACTAGGTATATTCATAAAAAGTGGCATTTTAAAATTTGCAATATTTTGAATAATTTGGAAATAATCCAACCTTTTCATTTTGTAAAAAAAAAAAAAAAAAAAATTATCATGGCCTTTGAAATAAGACATTTAGACTTATTATATACATATATTAAATCCTAACACGTATGTGAACAGTAAACTTTTACATTTTTAGAGTTTCACCACGTCACTTTCTACAGAACTACAATTTCGTCATTCTCACAAAAACACTGAATATCAGTTTGTAATTTCCTCCGCCTCTTTCTTCTTCATTCGTCTCCGACATCTCCCAGCGACTTCTCATCCAGATATTTTATACTGTGATCGTTTGAGTCTCACAACGATTTCTCATCCAAAATTTCGTCCTTCTCACAAAAACACCGAATATCAGTTTGTAATTTCCTCCGCCTCTTTATTCTTCATTCGTCTCCGACATCTCCCAGCGACTTCTCAGTCTCACAACGATTTCTCATCCAAAATAGAGGAATACGATCCCATCCAAGTAGAAAGCAATTCGATTCCTCAACACTATACGGCCGCAACGAACGTCTATACCCTGTTTAGTGAGGATTTTCGGTATGTTGTTGGTTGTTTCAATTACGTAATCATATTTCTTCAATTAGGAGCAATGTCTCTGAATGTTTCGGTTTGACAATCGACAATTTCCATTCAAGAATCAGGAATCGATTTCTGTGAACAACCACGTCTGCCATCAAACCGCCACCAAACATCAGCCTGTGTGAGGAATTTCGGTATGTTGTACGTTCTTTCAATTTCCTAATGATTTTGGTTCAATTGCTCCTCTTTCTGATCCTTCTGTGTTTTTGAGCGATGTCTCCGACTTTTTGGGTATAACTATCAACATCCCGTCCAAGAATCAACTCAGATTTCTGTCACCAAGTACATCAACAACCAAACACCTGTGTTATTGTTTACAATTCGGTATGTCTAATATTGTTTGTAATTGATCTTGATTTTCTTTATAATTGATGTTCCTTCTGTTTTTGTTAAACGAAGCCTCTCACTCTTATTTCAGGAAAAAAAAATAGAAGTTAATCTCATTTTAATTGTATAGCATGTAAACCCTCCTGATATTGTTGGCTCCAAGGATTTCCATCTACTTGAATCCCTTCGATAACTAAATTTGTATTCTATAAAGCTATTAGGTTTCAATTCCCATTTCTTAATCATTTTTTGCAATTCCAACATAACTAAATCAGAGAAAACTTGCCAGGTTCTCAATTTTCCTGGAAAATATATTCACATCCTTAAAACTTCCCAAAATGCCCCTGGAACTCTTTATGAAATTCATGGAAAAACTTGTCAGGTTCTCCATTTTGGTGCAAAAGTTCTTCACATCCTTAGAATATTAATTGCATCTTTTTTCAACCAAAATGTCTTCCTCCTGTAAACAATTAAAATTAAAAACTTCCCAAAATACCCCTAGACTCTTTTTATCCCATATATGAATTATCCAACAGTACGTTTATATAGAACAACTTTCATTAAGAGAGACATCACTATAAACAATCTCATTTAAAATATGATAATGATGTTCCATTTTTTTTTTTTTTGGGAAATGCCCTTATGCCAATTAGATTGTTATCAAACTTTTAAAGATAAAACCAACTGCATAAAAATGACGCTTTTTCTTTTAAATCACATGTCAAGTGGCTATGCCAATAATATGTTACAATCTAGATATCAAGAGGTATTTCGGTCATGATTCCCACATCTCATTTAAGCTTTAAATTAAAAAATATCACAATATGAAATTTTAAGATTAAGCAGACATGAGACTATTTCTAAATTTATCAAAATCTTAATTTTGACAGCAATAATTTTTCAATCTACAAAAAGTGTGTGCATTAGTTTTAAACGATTGGAAATTAACACAGTTAATGCAAAAGTATAGATGATGGTTCTACCAATTACAAAAAAAAAAAAAAAAAATTGCATATTCAAAAGTTTTAGGTCTCGGCACTGTATATGAGGATTGCAAGAAAAGGGAAAGGATACTGTAAACATTTTAAAATTAAATTCAATGTAAAGCAAGTATGAATCGAAGGTTAATGAGTTTACAAGTAGTTTATATGAAAAAAAAAGTATATTACATTTTGACCAAAGGACAATAATGCCCTTAACCATATTTGCAAATACTAGACGGAAAATTTACCTAATAGCTTTTCTATCACAAAATTTTCAATACCTTTTAAACTATTTAACTAAAACATAAATCATACACATTAGTGAATTTATGAAAGAAAATTTTAAGTAAAATCTATGTTTCTCATTACATTCTATAGTACGTAGCTGTAATATGGAAATATATATAGTATATTGCTATTTTGTGGATCCTCTCCTTCCAAGTTCATTCAATCTGCTAATAATTTCTAAAAAATACAGCATGCCTCTAACAATCAAGTTATATTAATGTATTTTTAAATTTTAGACAATTTATCATGCATTTTCTGCAATGACAATAATGCCACTAACATTTTTTTTTTTGAATATTTTACCTAATAACAACTAAAGAAAACCCTAATCATATTCTATGATTTTATATTGCATTTTCACATAACTACATAATGCACTAGAGCGTATTTATTAATGCTAGAAGAAAAAATTTACCTACAAAAAATAACATAACCTGTTCAATTATACTGTGTAACACATGTAAATGAAAAAATATGATACAAACCTGAAATAATTCCATACAACAGCTCTAATTAAGTAACAGATCAACATATTTATAAGGTTCTGAGGTAAATTTGGTCATGAATAAACAAAACTATGGTAGCAACAAAATTTTCCTAGATGACATGCCCTATATGATACCAAGAATTTGTCTATTTGTCAATTTATTCACAAGACCTTATAGCTATGGAATGAGACTTGATACCATATATAGATTCAGATTCATGTAATTTCAGTTGGTAATTTTTGTCTACATAAAATTTTAAAGTTTTACTTGCATTATGTTAATAATGCCACTATTTTTTTTTTCTTTTTTCTTTTTTCTTCTTTTCTTTCTTTTTTTTTTTTTAAATGTAAGAAAGAAGCTTCATAGCCATCTTACATACTGATACACATAAACCCCTAATCTTATTCTATGCTTTTATATTGCATTTTCACAGAAGGAGAAAATGCCATTAACCATATTAAAATGTTAGACAAAATTTAATACAGAAATATGCTACAAATTTAAAAAAAAATCCCATACAACAACTTTAATCGAGTAATAGATCAAACATCAACCCTTTGGATATATAGTATGCAATTGTAATATGACTTCTAACTAATACACATGGAGCCTTTGCATTCAACTAGATTAGTGTTAATATAGAATTGTAAAATTTTTGTTTATAACCTTTTCATATTCACCTCTACCTAGTAGCTATACAAAGATTCTATCGATTAATACAATCATACAATAGCCTATTAATCTCTTCTAAATGTGTGTTAAAAATACTCCAACAATTGGTTACTAACTAAAGTAGTTAGTTTCAAAAATACATTTTTTGAGTCTAATTTTCCATTTCATTTACATATAAAGTATGTTAAGCGTCGATAAATTTTGGGTTTCCATTTCTGTAAAGCCTTCTTCAAATGCCTCCAAAACGGCGACATATGGATTCTACTTCCAATACAATAGTCCCCCGTCAATCACGTCGTTCACGCAGGAGTTCACTTTTAGTGGAGATACCAACGTTGCCTTTTTATTATGACTGTGGAAATTGTACCTGTGTATGTGAGTATTGTGGGGCTTATTTTTGGTATCATGAGAGAGTATTGTATTTATCCAGAGCCAATCATCCACAATATACAAAATGTTGTAAGTCGGGTAATGTAGTTCTTCCCTACCCTCTTCGTCCGCCTGATGTGCTTATGCAATTCTACGAAGATGATCACTTCATGCATAACATAAGAGCATATAATTCCATGTTCTCTATGACGTCTTTTGGTGCAAACGAAGACGACTCAATCAACAAAGGTCGTGCACCATATGTGTTTAAGGTTAGTGGTCAGATTTACCATTGGATAGGCTCTTTTTATCCTCAAGACATTCATCAACCCCGTTTTCTCCAATTGTACATGTGTGATACTGAAAATGAGGTTGCTAATAGACTTCGTTCTTTTCATGATGGGGAAGTACTTTTGTCTGCAGATGTTGTAGAATCCTTAAGTCATATGTTACACACACATAATGAGTATGTTCGTACATTTAAGACTGCGAAAGAAATAGCTCAGTCAATGAATTTAGATTCATATGGTGTACGTTTATTTAGTGTTGTACCTGACAGAAGATATGGGCCACCGGCCCCTGGAAGTTTAGGTTGCATTGTTTGTGGTGATGATGTTACTGGGGCTGTCTATGACATTGTTGTCTATTCAAAGTCTGGGTCACCTCGGCGTGTCAGTAAGCTTCATCCAACTTACATGCCTTTGCAGTATCCATTACTGTTCCCGTACGGTGAAGAAGGATGGTCTCCTGGCTTGCATCTATGTATTAACTCTGACAGAAGTTAAACAAATAATATGTATTACAGTTATCAAATTCATGATCGACATACTTACTCTCTTATTTTACGTGCACGCCGTCTTTTCCACCAGTATTTAGTGGATGCATATACTTGCATTGAACAATCTAGGCTTGACTTTATTGAACACCATCAGCAACAATTGCGTATAGAGTACATCAACGGTGTTTACGACGCTTTGTCCAAGGGTGATTCGAACACGCATGTCATTGGAAAGCATGTATTTCTACCTGCAACTTTCGTTGGGGCACCTAGGTATATGTATAAACACTATCAGGACGCTCTTTCCATATGCAAAGTTCATGGTAAGCCACAATATTTCATCACTTTCACTTGCAATGTTAAATGGCCTGAGTATAGAAGATACATGGATGCTATTGGTCAACGTGATATTCAAAACAGACCAGATATCATTGCACGCATCTTTAAAATCAAAGTTCATGCTTTCATTAACTTCCTTAAAGAGGACAGAACTTTTGGAGATGTTAGTGCATGTAAGTTTTTGTTCTCTTATTTCATTCTTCCTATTTATTGCCTTCTATTCCTTTATGTCTTATATAACATCATTATGAAATATTCTATTCATAGATCTTTACACAATTGAATTCCAAAAAAGGGGTTTACCACATTGCCATACATTATTATGGGTAACGTCACCCTATAAAATTCAAGAAGGTGCAGATATTAATAAATAAATAACCGCTGAACTTCCTGATCCCATACTTGAACCAACACTATATAGGACTGTTACTACATGCATGCTACATGGTCCTTGTGGTTCACTGAATATTGGTGCCCCTTGTATGGTAGATGATAGATGTAAGAAACTATTTCCAAAACCGTTCAACCCATTAACAACTTTTGATGAAAATGGTTACGTGCATTATAAAAGACGTGTTGGATCGTATCATGTCCTACAAAGTGGGATTAGAACTGATAACGACTATGTAGTGCCATACAATAAATGTTTGTGTAGTCGATTTAATGCTCACATCAATGTCGAATATTGTGGTTGGAATATGATGATTAAGTACTTATTTAAGTACATTTCAAAGGGGGTTGATCGCGTTCGTTTCACTCTTCAAACATCAGAGGCAAATACTCCTACTATTTCCTCTACCATACCTGTCGCTGTAAATGAAATCAAGTCGTTTCTTGATGGTCGATATATATGTCCACACGAAGCAGCATGGCGCATCCTCAATTTCCCCATTCATGAACGAGATCCACCTGTACAAGTCTTGGCCGTCCATTTGGAGGGGATGCAACCTACTATTTTCAAAGAAAACAAATCAATTAAGCTCTCTAATTGATACCCCAGTTTTTGGTGTTACCACTTTAACGGAATGGTTGCACAATAATCAACGTCATGGTCGAGGAATTGACTTGACATACAATGATTACCCTTCTAAATACAGTTGGGACACCAAAGATAAGAGATGGATTCATAGGACTACCACAATAAATACTACCATTGGCAGACTTGCATATGTACATCCAACAGCTGGGGACTTATTCTATCTACGGATTTTACTATTCCATCAAAAAAGGATGTAAATCATTCTATGACATTAGAACCGTTCGTGAAAACACATACTCAACTTTTCGTGATGCATGTGAAGCATTAGGGTTAACTGGTGACGATAAGGAGTGGCTAACAGCATTTGAAGAAGCATCGTCTTGGGCAACCTCATCTGAACTTCGTTCTCTATTCTGTCATCTACTTTTGTATTGTGAAGTAGGAAACCCTCTTTTGTTATGGGAAGTCGCAAAACCTAAAATGGGCGATGACATAACCCATACATTCACTTCCAATTCTACAGATCCAAATGTAGTTCTACGTGTTGATACACTAGAACAACAAATACTTCTCGAAATTCAAAAGACACTACTAGCTTCAACACCTTCCAAATCACTTGCTGACTTTGGATTGCCAATGCCATCTCCATATCTTCTTTCCATTCTCAGAAATCGTCTTTTTATTGAAGAGACTAATTATGATACAAATCTCTTAATTTCTCAAAATACATCCATGGTATCACAATTGAATCCGGATCAACTTACAATTTATGAAAGAGTTGTGGATGCTGAACGAAACAAAAAGCAACTGCTATTATTTGTATATGGATCTGGTGGTACAGGAAAAACTTTTTTATGGACAACTATACTTTCATATTTCAGATCTAAGGGAAAGATTATACTGGCTGTTGCCGCCTCAGGCATTCCATCCCTTTTGTTGCCTTCAGGTCGTACTGCTCATTCTAGATTTGTTATTCCAATTGACTTTACAGACAAGTCTTCCTGTAATATTAAAAAAAAACACAGCTAGCAGAGCTCCTAAAGAGGACTTCTGTGATCATATGGGATGAAGCTCCAATGAGTGATCGTCGTTGCTTTGAGTTTCTTGATTAATCAGTAAAATATGTCCTTGAGGATGATAACCATCTTTTTGGTGGGATGTTAATGCTCCTAGGAGGTGACTTTCGACAAACTCTTCCTGTTCAACCTAAAAGTAGAAAATCACAAATAATTAGCCTAACTCTACCTATTCCTATCTATGGTCACATTTTACGGTATTCAAATTGTATCATAATATGCGTTTATCCCAACCGGTCAATTCAAATAAGGATGTTAATCGAATATCACAGTTTGCTTCATGGCTTCTCGATATTGGAAATGGAAATATTGGAACACCAGACAAGAATGATCCAGAAAGCACAAACATTATACAAATACCTCATTGTTTCCTTATCGAATCAAGAGACAAAGGATTAGAATCACTAATACATTTTGTATATGGCAAAGATATAATTTCCAATCCATCACCTGAAGAGTTATCTGTTAGAGCCATTATTTGTCCAAAAAATGAAACAGCTGATCAAGTCAATGCTTTAATTCTATCAAAAACTAATAGTCAAGGGGTGGTATACAACAGCTGTGATTCTATTAAGTCACAAACCCATGATAGCTTAGAATTAGATACCTTATATCCCCAAGATTATTTAAACAATCTTCACTTTTCTGGTATTCCTTCACATACATTAAATTTGAAAGTTAATATTCCGGTTATGCTAATGAGGAATATCAATCAACGAGAAGGTTTTGTAATGGAACACGTTTGATTGTTACACAATTATTACCATCTGTGAGTGAAGCTTCCATAATAACAGGAATATCTGTTGGGAAAAGGGTGTACATTCCAAGAATAAAATTTGTACATAATACCTCTGACCTACCTTTTATATTTATCAGAAAACAATTTCCTCTTAAAGTATGTTACACAATGACTATAAACAAAAGTCAAGACCAATCTCTTAAAAAGGTAGGTTTATACCTCACAAACTCTGTTTTCACACACGGACAACTATATGTGGCTTTGTCAAGAGCTACCTCACCAGATTCGATAAAGATTCTGCTACAACAAGAAGATGCATTACCATTCAACTGTACCAGAAATGTCGTCTTCAAGGATTTGTTAGCAAGAGTTAATATGCAAGAGTTAATATGCAAGAGGTTATTACACCACATTTATATTTTCAAATCATCTAATAGCTAAGATAATTCTATCACCCAAAATCTCATCTTTTCTACCTGTTTTGCAATTATACTTATTATAAACATCTAATACCTAAAATATATGCTAGGAAATAACCATCATATTTTTAAAACTATTTTAACAATGTTTTTTTAATTGCAGAGCAATCTCGTCAAACATGGATAGAATATCAAAACTCCACTTTGGTTCACCAGGAAATTCACTTGAAATCCGTTTCTTGCGAAAATGGACACTACAATTCAGAAAGGACGAGACATGGTTTATCGTGATTGATGAGCATGTAAGGATTTATATATATATATATATATATATATATATATATATATATATATATATATATATATAATAATTCACTCTTGTACAAAGTAATTCATATATAAAACACCCTAACACATTTATTTGACCAGGGAGATACAATTCAGCTACTTGCACAAAAGACAAATCAAGGATCCACAGAAACTTCATTACTACTCTCTCGATGTTATCGTATTAAGGACTATACATGCACTGAGCCAGATAAATATCAAAAGGTCTTAGATCACCTAGTACACATGAATATTGGTGAAGCATCAATAATTGAGGAAATTCCAAACCACAATGCACTTCCACTAACATGGTTCCGCTTCAGTCCAAGATCACACTTTCAAATGATAGCAGACCAAAACTTGGAGCATCCAGGTACATTTATAACATCAACCCAAACATCATTACTTTAATGCAAAAAATTTGGTATACTCTAATTTGTCACTAATATTACGCTTACAATTACATTCAGATTTCATAGGCGTGCTCATCAAAATGAAAGATCGCGAAAAAAAACAAGGAACCTTTCATGGTTATGACTTTAACAGAGGAAAAGTAAGTACATATTCTTCATAAGAAAACATATTACCTACTATATTTCCTTTAATTATTATTAATGACAAAACCGGTTCAAGTGCGGAGGAGATTACCATACTCTTATGGAAGGAATGCATAGATTCGCCAGACAAATTCAATCGAAATGCCCTTACATCAAACTCTAACACGGTGGTACTAGCTTTCACCAATGTCAAGTCCACTATGTACAATGGTAAGTAATAACAAAGACCCTTATTATAATACTCACTTCACACTATGCTAAAATACCATCTTACTGCACATGAAGATTGACATTGACAAGCACCAGCGCAACACACATGTACGTCAATCCCAAAATACCAGAAACGGACACACTCATTACAAGGTATGTTATACTGCTTCTACCAAATCTTAACCATACTTAACCAAACTATAAACTACATAATATACAACATTTATTCACTAACAAGTTTCCATTAATACAGATTTGGTACCCAATTTCACTCAAAATCATCATCAACTGTGATAAATACTACATTACAACGCTTAAAGAGCTCAGATTTCTCTCAAATAGTGGTAAAAAGTTTTCTTTTGTATAATACTACTATTTCATACATAAAAAATCACTAACATACATCTATAACATGTTCAAGGACAATGTATATGTTTTAATGACCATACTATCTGATTTCACATTCAAAGATGTATGGTACCACGTTACATGTACCACATGTGGTAAATCAACACACAAAAAAGGTGATGGATGGTTTTGTGTTTCCCATGGGCCCATAAATGAACCAAAACTTTTGTAAGTACTCCCTCTCCCATGTATACCTTATATATTTATAAAAATCACACATAACATCACTTCTCTTTCCACATATATAAAATCTCAACAGTACTCACAGATAATACAGATACCACAACAGTTTTCATGTCTAATGAAGCAACCTGTACTCTGCTAAATGCGACTACACAAGAAATCCTAGACCGCTTTCCTAGTCAAGATAGAAAAACTTTACCTGAACCACTCGAACGTTGTAAAGGGTTGACAAAGAATGTCTATGTAGAATGCACAAAACTTTCTTCCACTAGAAATATCCGTTTCACAGTCACCACAATCAGTGACATAAAAACACCACAACCAACAATCTTATCAACACAAAAAACACAAACTACACCTTCAACACCAATGGAACAACAAACCACAACAACTATGGAGTCCCTCACCCCTACTAAATCACGTGAAACTGGAAAACGACTCCAAATGGAACATACAGGTAAAAACAACTTATAGCAGTTTATTTATTGCATACACATAATTAACATCTTACATTTCATAGATACACCAAAAAAACCACGTCCCAAACGAGAGAAATACAGAAACCACGGCGAAGCAGACGAAGGAACACATGCCAAAAAGCAATGAAACTATTTGATATTTTCATAACATACTTAGACTTAACCTAAACTCTCTTTATTATAGCTTTATGTCCATATTATAGACTACATTCAACACATTATGTTTATAAACAATAATCTGTAAATATTCAATAAAACTATGTCATATTCAGACAAAAAAATTCCAAACACTTGTAATCTTTTATTGTTTCCATAGATTTGTTTGATATCTAATGACATTTACTTTTCAATTTGTAGTTTTTAGTGTGTTTATTGTTCATGTTTATAGTCGTGTGTATGAGAAGTGTTGGTATCTATTGAACCATTTTTGTTCATGTTGTACAAAATAGAAGTTTGTTTTACGTTGCAAAAGCAATAACTTTACGACATCCTTCGATTTTGAATCCATTCAAGATTTCACGTCATAAACAAAGTTATTTCGCGTTTTAAAGATTTGCATGGGTAACGTTTTTTTCTTCAACTATATACATCTATCATAACCAATCTCAACTAACAATAGTAAACTTTATGACTATTAAAATTTCACCATATAACTCAATAAATATTCACCATCTATATTTTGAATAATGTCTCTTAACTCTGCGGTTTGACGTTTCAGACTATTTCTCGTCCAAAGTCAGAATTTCAATTTTCATTATCAACACCCAATAGTGCTCTATTACTACTACCAAACGTCCGCCAATAACGTGACACGTGGTTCACCACGGGTTCACACACTAGTTTCTGATTAAATTTAGAGCTAATTAAAACTCTCATTTCTAAAAAAAAATACATTTTGTATTCAAATTTCAGATTCTAAATCTCGAAACAGGAAAACGTATTTGGAATTTTCAAAAACATGTTTGAAATCTTATCAACAATTTTGAAATTTCAAAAAAATTATTTATTTTTCTAAAATCTAACATAAAGTTAAAGAGGTAATACCATACAAGGGCATACAAGTTAGGACAAATTTCATATAAGTCATTTTGTTATCACTTTCTTTTCACACTGCTTTTGTAACATCATGTTTTTTGGGCTAGAAATTTTGAGTAAATTTAAAATTTTTATTTTAATAAATTAAAATAAATAAATAAATAATCAAGTTAGAATAATATGAAAAATAAAAATAATCTACTATAATAGTTAATGATAAGTCAGAAAGGTAAAATGTAGATATTATAACAATTTGGGTTTTGGGGTTAAAAATGTTAAAGTGGTGAAAGTGTGTTTAACCTGAGGGTTGACTCACTTAAATGATTTTTAGACCATTAAAATCATGAAAGGGATTGGAAGGGACCAAAGAGTTAACTCCTAAAGTTAAAAAACTACTAGTTATTGGAATGGGACCATTATTGACAAATTGTAAGGATGTAAGAGTAGAAAGTAAAAATATGAGAAATAAGAGTGTAACTCTCCCTCCCATTCCATGAGATCATGTTTTAATGAACTAGAGAGCTCTTAGGTAGTGATTTCATGAGATAACTGATGAGTTTTCTAGGTTACAACAAAGAATATTTATGTAGCGGAATCATAATCATATTATGGGTCCATGCAACCTAGAAGACTATGGTATTTTCTCAAGTTATAATTGATGGGTTTTGAGCACTACAACATTCCTATGGTGTACACGCAACCCTAATGCTTTGGATCTAGGTTTTTCTCAAGTTATACATGCAAATAATCATCCAAAGCATAAATCCTAAGACTAGCATACACAATTTCGAAATTCATATGTAAAATAGGGTTTGGAACATTACCTCACTTGTTATGTAGAAATAACAAGTATAATCCTTCTTGATCTTGACTTCTAAAAGCCTAGTGCCCCAAGTGTTGCACCTCTAATGGAGTCACAAACACCCAATGGGTGTTATTTCGAGGACTTAAATCAACCAACTTGAATTTCTCCCTTGTAGATGTCTAGTTCTGACAACTATGGTCTTTCTGAATCTTTTGAATATAAATTTACTTATAAAGATGATATTCCACGAGACGATCGAGGTGAAATATTAATCCCTTTTTCGTGATGTAGTGGAACTTCTCTTCCTCCACCTCCTCCAATAATTCCCCCTGACCCACAAGTTCAAAGACTTGAAAAGTTCAAGGTCACTCAAGCCCTATTGGCTAGCAAACACCAAGATGGAAGGTCTGTGTGTGCACATGTCTTGGAGATGAAGTCACACACTGACAGGCTAGGAATGTTGGGTGTCGTTGTTTCAAGGAAGTTGTTTGTTGACTCGGTTCTTCAATCACTTCCTAAGTCATATAACGGGTTCTTTAAGGACTACTATATGGGAGATCACGACATGACCCTTATTGATCTAACATATTTGCTTGTTGCTGCTGAATCAGGAATGATTTGGTTCACTGGTAATGCAAATTTGATTGGAATATATATTTCCCAGACTTCCATGGACATTGACAATGGAAACATTGGAAGTACAGAAAAGCTTTCTCTTTCCAATGGAAAGGGATCGGTCATGGTCAAGTCATTTGACCAAATGGTAAATAGAAAGGCTAAGTCTGAGATAGTTCCATGTACCATTCCCAAAGAGTCCATATGTTTATATTGCCAAGAGAAGGGGCATTGGTTGCGAAGCTGACATATTTACCTGAAAGATCGCAAGGATGGTAAAGTCAAAAGTTTGACTCTGCTTCAGGTAAGTCCACTATCTAACTCTATTAAGTTCCTATTTGGAGATTCTTAATACATGATGTAATGTAATTACATTTTAATGTTTTGTAGGATCGAAGAATAGAAAGGAAACTGAAAGGAAGAGTAAGCTGATTCTGATCGTGAAGAGATGGATTTCGATCGCATGGTTTGATGATCATAATTTTGAGCTGCTGCTTAAGAGTTATGATAGATTGCTTAGGAATCGATAACAACATAGTTTCCATATGTATTTGCATTGCAAGGAAAAGTTTTCCGCAATTTTAATAAATAAATTTTGATTTTATTTTATTTTAAGTTTCCTTACAATGACATTTGTGAAAACTGTTGTCTATATGTTTCCATTGATAGCAATATTGGAAAATGGATTTGATTCTTTCGTTTGTGGTAGTGTCAAGATTTACCAAATAAGGAAGGATTCTCATCACCCAAGTTTCAGTTGGATAGAAACGTGGAATCATACAACTTGGATTGTGTGATGAATGAGAACTTCATATTTGGGAAATTAAGACTAACTCCTTGTTCACATGTATATGTGAGTCAAGTGAAGGACTAGGGGATCGGGTACACTTGGTTGTGCGCTGGTCAGGTCCACCGCAAAGAATGATAAGACTATTTGTTATGATTTACTAAAGTTTAGTAAATATGGTTATGCTTACAAGATTAAGTGTAATTCTGAATCATTGGAAAAGTTTCAATGCATGGCAGAACGAATAAGAAGAATCAAATTAGGCAGAAAGATAAAAGTTTCTCCAATCTGAGAAGAAGGGAAAGTACTTGAGTGTCGTGTTTTATGATTATCTTAGTGATTATTAAACCATATCACAATTGATCCTCTAAGAATATCTTAGTGCATTTGTATGGCTAAGAAGAGGAATCGTGAATTGTTGAAATGGTTAAATCAAGAAGATAAATCATACTTCGTTCCAAAATCAGGTCTTAGAGTCATACTTTAAGATTGTAACTTGAGTGACATGATCTTAAGAAAGGTTTATAACACTCATCAAATGTAGAGTAAAATGTTTCTTACTCTTGTACATTTGAAATTGGAAAGTTGTGATGTTTTGGATAAGACAAAGACCAACTAAGACCAATTGTGTGAAGTGTTTG